TAGGAGGCAGGACTAAGGCTGCAGCCTGAGGTGACCCAAATCCCACTTTTTTTTGCCTTATTTTGACCTGGATCTGATCAACAGTCTGAACAATACAGATTGAATTTATTCAAATGGATACCCCACTGGATAAGTGGGCCTAAAGCAGACACGTATCTGATTCTTTTAAACGTGGCCCGAGTCTTATCGGGTCACATTCTTCTGACCCGCATGTCACTGATACTCAACAAACGCCACTTTTCTGCTAAAGAAATACAACGACCACGGCGGCACACACCCAGAACAGGTTTCTGACAGTATTATCCAGGCCAGACTGAAGGGGAACTTATTGGAACTGTGTGATTTTTGTTAGCATTTCCCACGAAATGGCCGAGCGTGGGTATAAACCTTCCTGCCTCCAATGCCAAAGAGAAATAAAGAGCCTCCGGGCCAAATACAAGGAGGCTAAAGCAGCTGGCTTCATGTGCCATTAGCATCCTCTACAGCTCCTGCAGGACACTTTTCGGCTCGCCTGCAGCTCACACTGGATATCACATACGAATCGCGCAGATTTATTTACCGTATTTTCCGCACCGGATTATAAGGCACATATAGTAGAAGCTCCAGTTGTAGTTGGGGTTGCTGTGGATTCAATTGATGCAGCTACCCCAAAGGAGAATGTCATATAAGTCAGTCAGACTTTACGAACACAACACAAACCAGCATTCTGACGACTCCGTTCACTCCCAAATTGAACAAACAACTGTTTTATTATTTTTCCCCAAGTTGTCAGTGACGTAGTGTCTTTATCTCATATTTTATCTTGTAACAAAAACAACGTATAACAGGTCGTGCAGCATTTTGATCAGGTAGTGGAGGGGAACTTTTCCTCAGTAAACACGTCAAAGAAAGCTTTTCTTGTAAAAATTATTTGAACTACCTGTTGTCATAGTTAAGATCAGAAACCTTTAATGTCCACATTTTTTAAACAACCGCCCTTTCTTACTGCGTCCACTTTTAAAATGGGAGCAGTACTGTGGAGTCTCCACAAGGTGGCGCCTTCTATGTTGAAAATGGAGTCAGCTGCTGGTTCCTGTAGCTCCAGACCTGTTCCGGCTCAATCCTGATCCATGTATGAGGCACGCTGTTGGTTTTGGAGAAACTTGAAGGCTTTTAGGGGCCTTATAGTGCGGAAAATGAGGTTTCACAAAAAACGGGACTTGGGTCCCTTCAGGCTGCAGGGTGAAATTAGCCTAGACTAGATGCCATTTTTCATCTAGTCTACGTGTTGCTGTGTAGGCTGCCTCTCTCTGCTCCCTCTGTCCTTCTCTCGCCCTCTCTCTCTCTCACCCCTAACCGGCCGAGGCAGATGGCCGCCCACCCTGAGCCATGGTTCTGCTCCAGGTTTCTGCCTGTTAAAAGGAAGTTTTTCCTCTTCTGTGTCGCCTAGTGCTTGCTCATGGTGGGAATTGTTGGGTTTCTGTAATTAACTTCAGAGTAGGGTCTGACCTGCTCTGTTTGGAAAGCGCTGAGACAACTGTTGTTGTGATGTGGCGCTATAGAAATAAAATTGAATTGAATTGAATTAAATACTGACTGCATTGACCCCCCCCTCCCCTGCTGTCTCCCCAAAGCCGGCCTCCACGGGGGATGACCGAGCCATGTGTTTCACCTGCAGCGTGTGCCTGGTCTGCTGGGAGCCCACCGACGAGCCCTGGTGAGTACCACCCCCCCCCACGTCCCCCACGGGGAATCGCACGCAAAAGGAAAAGGAGCAGAAAGAAAGTAAAAATACCCGGTAACGGCAAGGAGGACGAGGGGGGTCAGCACAGAAATGCAACAGGACCAGATCAGAGCCTAGAGACTCATTCTAGTTAGCACCACACCTAGAATTTATCTGAAATTCTAGACCTGAACAATCTTTAAGAGTTTTAACACTTTTTTTTTTTTAAACTTTGTTTATTTGGTTTTTAACAAGAATTGCATAGCCATACATTTGCAATGTGATGCATATAAAACAAACCATACAATTCCCTTGAGTTATAAAAACAAAACAAAAAACACAACAAAACGACTTCCAATCACTCCCAGGCAATAAGAAAAAGTCATAAGAAAAGGGAGACACGCACACAAAAAAGTTTTGAAATGGATCAAAATTAAGATGCATTCTGCTACACCTAAAAAAAAAAAAAA